CTGCTACTGCTGCTGCTGCTGCTGCTGCTGCTGCTGCTGCCCCCACCTGCTTCTTCACTCAAATTGTCGTCTCAGGGGTGGCAGGAGCTTGCCTTCTCCCCATCTTCGAGTCTCGCGTCTCCCCGAGGAACGTGGCCATTATTGCCAGCAAAGACTTTCACGTCCGACTACATCACGGCACTCAAGTTCGGTAAAGGAGACAAACACGAGCGGAGAAGAGGAAGAGGAAGAAATCTCTACTGGCACAGCCTTCAACAACCGTCCTCCTCCTCCTCCTCCTCCTCCTCCTCCTCCTCTGCCACTGCCGCCGCCGCCGCCAGCACCAGCACTACCAACACCTCTTCCTCGTTATCGTCACTTCATCATTCCTGTTCCCGCAATGAATCGCCGAATCCGATCCCAACCCTAGAGTAGACTCAACAAGACAACCTCCCATCATCCTCCAGCAACCTCGAGCTCGAGTTCAGCAGGCTTGTAGCTCTCCTCCCCTGTTGCGCAGCCTCTGACATGTCCAGTCCTGCTCGCATCGGTCAACTGACGGCATCCTCCCCTCCCTCTCTACCCATCTGCATCAACATGCGCGACCCGAACCCTGTTGTGTGAGCTTCCCAGGACGCGAAACCACCCTTGAAATCTGTCAGCAGCAATCGCAAACTCCTGCTCCTGCTCCTGCTCCTGCTGCTTCCTGGTGTATCTGCCTCGCCATATCTTCTTTTCTTATATCCTCCTCTATATCTCCACTCACGCCTCCTCCTCCTCCTCCTTCTTACCTCGTTAGGATGCTGGAGGGTTGGGATTCGCTTAGTTGCTGCACCTCTCTCAATCTTGGAGTACTTCTCGAGGAGCTGCAGTAAGAAAATGAGGCCTGAAGAGGAGCAGAAGTAGGAGCAGGAGCAGGAGCAGGAGCAGGAGCAGGAGCAGGAGCAGGAGCAGGAGCAGGAGCAGGAGCAGGAGCAGGAGCAGGAGCAGGAGCAGGAGCAGGAGCAGGAGCAGGAGCAGGAGCAGGAGCAGGAGCAGGAGCAGGAGCAGGAGCAGGAGCAGGAGCAGGAGCAGGAGCAGGAGCAGGAGCAGGAGGAAGAAGAAGCGGAGCAGGAGTCGGTAGGTTGAGGAGCTGACAAACCGCTCGCACAGCGTCCTCGTCAGGCTCAGTTGTCGTGCCGGGCATTGTCAGGGTCAGCCTCTTCCTGTGCCCTCCTCCTTTTTCATGGCAGTCGAGCCTGTAATACCCTGACAGTGAACCGTTAAGGCTGGAGAAGGAGGAGGAGGAGGCCAACGATACGTGTAGGTGGAGGAGGAGGAGGAGGAGGTCGCCAACGATAGGAGGAGGAGGAGGA